GTATCGCCGGAGGTGTACCCGGCCTTCTCCTTCGGCCTTCTCTAACTTCTTTAGACTTCCTCCTCTCTTCCCTACGCTCGAGGCGGCGAGTGTCCTCGTGGTCCTCTCCCCTCCTCTTCGAACTTCGGGTCTCTACCCGTCCGCACATTACTTCTTCTTCCGGCCATACTTCGTCTTCTTCAGCTGGGTCCGGGCTCAGTTCTAGCTGGTTGACCTGCACTTCTTCCTTGCCAGGTGTCGATACGAAACGCACGGTTTGCCTGGCGACTGGTGGCTGATCACATTCGGCTGCCGTATGTCCAGACTTCTTGCAATTGTTGCACAACGGTGCATACCCCATTTGCTTCCTCGGGTGGGGACAGCTTGGCGCGTAATGTCCCATGTCCCCGCAGTTGTAGCAACCATTGAATTGTGGTGGAGGTCGGTTGAAATTGCCTGGAGGTGCCATGCGTCTCGGTGGGAGCGTACCCGCCATTTCCCTCGGAACAAAGCGCGGTATATGCACAGGTGGGTTCGGAGTTGTAGCTGGAGCTGTCTGCACCGCGTAGGCGGTGTCCTCAACCGGCTCAGCATAATAAATGGGATTCTCCCACTGTGGTGCCCATTCGACCGCATTCACTGGGTAAGTCGGGCAAGCGGACATGCACTCCGTGTTGGCATGTCCCACCTGTCCGCACGTAGTACACCAGAGATTCGCTCGCTGTCTCGCAGGTGATTTACGTCGGTCTTGGCCTCCCACTACATGAACTTTCAGGTCCGCAAAATTCTTCACCATGTTGTCTACCTTGGCTGCGATGTCCCCTTGACTCTTCACTGGGATTCCCCTACCTCGATCCTTCTTCTTGATCGTACTGCGTTTCTTCTTCCGTCTTTCTTCCTCTGAAGATGACGAGTCCTCTTCCTCTTCCGAGGAAGAACTCGATTCGGAGGAGCTTGATTCTTCTGTCGAGGAAGGCGAGTTCCTTCTCTTCCGACGTCCGCCTTGCGATTTCTTCTTCGTCGACCGTCGGTCGCGTCTTCGAGTGTCAAGGGTTGACGTTTCAAAGGTCTCTGCCGAAGCTATCACATCTTGGATTGTGTCAGTCTTGCCTCTCCTGCAGAAGGTCTCCATTTCTCTTGAGAGCCCTGTCACATACCAATCCACTGCTTGTTGCACCAAAAATGGTTCTCCTGGGCCTGTCTTCGGAATTCGATCTAGGAGGTCTTGGAATCTCTCAGTTCAGTTTCAAAGATTCTCCTTCCGCTCGCGTCGAAGATTTCGAAGCCAGGTCAGTACTCGACTGTCATATCCGAGTTCGCGAAACCGCCTCAGAAACTTTTCCTTGAGCTGAGTCCAGGTCCGGATGCCAGTGGGGTCGGTGCTCTCATGGTTGTACCAGCTACGAGCTCTCCTGCGTAGCAGGCTAGGAAAGATTCGCAGTCTGTCTTCATCACTGGTCTCACGATTGGCGATGGAGACAGACTCGAAGAGCTTTATGTATGAATCTGCATCATCGTCATCGCCCGTTCCCGTGTATCTTGGATACGAATGTTTTGTGATAGGTTGGGAAAACACCTGGCGGAGATTGGCTTGATGGTCTGCCATTGGTGATCCTGTCAACGGACTGATCCTAGGTTGGCCAAACTCAGGAAGGGTTTCTGTCGGAGGAATTTCCAATAGAACTGTTAGCTCAATGCTCGCGGTAGGTGAACTGGAACGCCTTTGTCTTCCAACACTTACATTGAAAGACAAGATGACTTGGTTGGCAGTAGCACCGAGAATGGAGTCATTACTAGTCCGACCAGCCATTGATTGTTGTTGTGGGGTTTATTTGAGGCTTAATACTATAATGTAGTTCGTGTTTTATGTGAGTATAAGTAAAGGAAAAAAAACATAAATAGTGTGGGTGCTATGTGTGTTTACTTTAACTAGAATTGAGTGTAGTACATACTTTAAAGTTGTATTATAAACTCGTATTACGTGTTGTATTAGAGCTCAATGTTTTACATACTTTCAAGTTTTACTCCAAACTGGTATTAGAGTTGACTGTAGTACGTTCTTGTGAAGGAATGCAGAAAACTTCATTCTAGGTGTTAGGTGGCGTGATGAATACCGTCAGTGCAGATTTTTACATGAGCACATTTATTGGTGTCCATCACGCGATCATTTCCATCACTGATTGTGGAATTAACCCTGCACGAAGCTTTAGCCGTTGCTCTCTATAACCATGAGCAAGCTAAGGATTGAAGCTACCCAAAACCTTGAAGATTCAAGCTACGGATTGAAGATATCACTTGCAACAAGTGGATCTCAAATCACGAGAGAAGATGGTGACTTTGTTAGGATAAGATAGTAGAGTCAAAGTATCTTGATATTTTGTGACAAACTTGGGAATTTTTTTCTTTGTTAAGTGTGTCTTGGCCTTTGGTGTTGCAAAGATTGGATTTCGTGTGGATGCCAAACCACCCTAGTAGCTAAAAAGTTAGCACTTTAAAGTGTAGAGGGGAAGTAGCATAGAAGATTTTTCCACTTTGAACCAAGAAGTAGTTCTTTTAATCTTTGCTCATGTGCAAATGAGAAGTAGTTTTTTGATGTTTTCTCATGTTTTAGTGACGTAGTTCATTCAACAAAAGCCAAATTCCACTCATTTTCTTACTGTATATCCATAAGAGGTAGAATAGAATGTAGTAAAGAGTACTTGGTGTTTGAACTTTGACTAATATAGGTGGGAGGTGACATACTCGGGAGACACCTTGAAGTTAGCAAGGTGTTAATTCACTTAGAGTAGAGTGGAGTGAATGCAGAGGAAGTGACAGCATTTTTAAGATAGACTTGTCTTTCTGACGACGGAATAAAATCCATCGGTTGTAAGTTAAGAGATTTTAAAGTGTTATAGCATAAATGAACTACTTATTATCTTCAAGAGCACCTTTCTCATAGAACTGGCTACATGACGGGGTAATAAACATCAAGAAGAGCATAATCTGGTGTTAAACTTCAAAACAAGTTCCTTACAAGTCATTTAGATCAGCCTTAGATGGTTTTACTCACTTTCGTAAGTTTTTTTGCATCACATGTTTTGGTGATGGTAAACCTGATCTTGTATGGAATTCTACACAGCATCAGTTGTTAGAGCCCAATGTTGATGAGAGAGAGAGAGAGCGTGCAATGGCGTTTATAAATTGTGTGAATTCTTAAGTTTTAGAGTCGTCACATTTCAGATTTTGGATCAGGCTATGAACCTGAAGTGTAAAATTGGTTGTTGTAGGTGCAAAAAGTGTTAGATATATCTAAGGAGTTGATCTTGGTTAGGTTAGGTTTAACTAAGTCTAACTAGTTATGACTAAATCTAGTTAGTTTTAACTAATTTTAGTTATAGTGTCCATACTGCGGAGCAAGAATCCCGATATAGAAAGCTCATCACATAGTAAATAGCTGAAATTGTTCGATGAAAACTCTACCTAGACTACACAATATTTACCGAATTAAGAGGAGAAAAAAGAAACTATGATCGCATGGAACCTCTACTTTGCCACAAATTAAGACTAGGTTGTATTAACTTGTGAAGTTGCAAATGTGAGTTACGTAGTGTTCAAAGAGAATACACAGCTCGCCAAGATTGCATTGAGGTCTGGAATTAGGGGCATGATAAATGATCTCCTTTGAGCTATGGCTACAAATTAGGTTGAAAATAACCATCCATTACCCTTTTGGAAGAAGATGAACGCTCACAAGCAAAAGCTCTTGCTACAATTTATTTTAATTTAATGTGGATAGTGAGGAAGTGTATGGCAAGATATGGGAAGTAGTAATTCATTGAAATTATTCATTACAATAAAAGGAGGGCAACTTTTGCTTTGAGGGTTAATATTGCACAAGATGTGTCACCAGAAGATGTTGTTGTGCAGCGCCTGGTGGCAAAGCACTCTTTCTAGCCGCAAACTTGGACAGCACAATGACATTGTTGGCAATAGATTAAACGAGGGATGTCCGAGAAGGTTGCAAAATAGCTAGGAGTCTCAAACATAGTGAGCACATTTTGTGGTGACCTTTGTACTTACACTGCTAGTGTAGGTGGCACGGCAGACAAAGTACTTCTGGATGCTCCATGCAGTGGATTGGATGTTATAGCGAAAAGCTCATATGGATCTCAAGTGGTATTTATCCAACTCACCCTATGATTTTTTAGGTTTTAAGTCGAGGTTTCCTTCGGCAACACATTTTGAAAGCAAAGAGTACTTGATGCTCCCAATGGAAGTATAATTTCCAACCATCAATTTCGCATACGACTGATTCACTCCAGCAGCACCTATCCAGTATCTAGAAAGATGATCCAATTTCTGACTTAATACACTAAGTTCTTTGGCTTCTGGCATGATTTGCTTCCCAAGCCAAAAAAAATCACCTATGATTCCGCAAGATTAATTTCATCAATGATCTCCGTGTAATGAGAATCACTCACGTTATAATCGTGAGTTGCAGAACCTGACATCATAGAAATTGGACTGATTATATTATATTCATTTCTTACATATTCAAAGTTATGTATTCTGAGCTTAGAGAGTTAAAAACAATCGTTTTGGCTTTCAAATCGTTTTCAATAAAAAGGAGTTGATTTCAAAATGTTTTTAAATGTTTGTTTTAAGAGTTGTATGTTGTTCTAAAAAAAACATATTGTGTTTGTTTTAGTTCCTTTTTCATTCTTTAATAATATTAGAATTTACACCGATTTGTTGGAAGTGGACATGACAGTTGTGTTCCTTTTACATCTTTCAAACTTATTTATTTTCATTTTATTCACAACACATTTCAAAGAGGTGATGAAATTCCATCTTCCTGGATGAACAATAATTCTGATTCCAACAACCAAAGTTGTCAAGAATCAGAATATACATAGAAGGTACTCTTCGTACTGTGAACTGTGATTTAATGTAAGTCGTCCTGTACATGTTTTTTTGTGAGAGTGAAAGACTTGGATGACTTAGAAAAAGTCCTGAGACAAAAAAGCAGCGAAGTCTCCACTGAAAGACTGCACGGCAACTTGGAAAGCAGCGAATTCTCTACAGAAAGAATCGAATCTATGGCTATGGCTCATAATGGCTTCTCGACACGGCTAGGGCTTTCATAATGGCTTCCGACAGGTGAGTAGTTTGCTTTCCAAATGCTCAAAGTTCATTCTATGCATTTGGGCTCTGACACTAAGAATTGGGTTGACCGGTGAGTACTTGACCCTCGCACCTTACTAAGCAACAGCACTCGGACATGTCAATCAGAACCATCTGACATATACTCTGTTCGCGGTTCTTGGGATAAAATGCAGAAACATTTCTCGATTCGGCAATTCGATGACCTTGAGACTTCAGTGATTCATAAAATTTATAGTGTCAGCTGAATTGGTTTCGAGGTGAACGTTAGGGCCAGCCATAGTTCTGATTTTCCAGTGATTTTATGGCAGGCGGCTGGACAGGGATCTGTTTCGGGGAAGAAGGCTCCAACATCTCGAGCAGGATCCAGGTCGTCCAGAAGTTCCGACATCTGGGCGAGCTATTGTTCTGATTTTCCAGTGATTTTATGGCAGACGGCTGGACAGGGATCTGTTTCGGGGAAGAAGGCTCCAACATCCCGAGCAGGACCCAGGTCGTCCAGAAGTTCCGAGATCTGGGCATCACCCGCGTCCGCCTCTACCACACTTACCAGACCACGCTCCAGGCTTTCTCCAATAGCGGCATTCAACTCACTGTGGGCATAACGAACGCAAATATCCTCAAGGCCTCATCAAGTGTGGGCTCTGCCAGGAGCTGGGTCGATCGCTACATCGTCCCTTATGGCTCCAGTAACATCGTCGCTGTTACGGTGGGAAACGAAGTCCTTACTTCGACGGCGAACAATTTGAAAAACGCACTGCTGCCTTCAATGAAGAATCTGAGAGAGGCGCTGAATCAGGCAGGTAAGAGTGGGATCAAGGTCACAACAGCTCACTCTTTCGACGTCGTCACGAACACCTTCCCCCCCCATCTAGCGGCCAGTTCGCTGACACCGGAAGGATGCAGCCCTTGGTGAACTGGCTGGCCACGGTACGATCCGATTTCATCTGCAACATCTACCCTTACTTCACGTACATAAACTCCAATGGGCAAATCACGTTGCAATTTGGCCGTCTTGAATCTGGTTCTGTCACAGATTCAAACAATGGCAAGATATATACAAATCTTCTCGCACAGCGGCTGGACGCAGTTTATGCAGCTCTGGGGAGATTGGGGCAGGGAAACATGCGCGTGGTCGTTGGGGAGATCGGCTGGCCCACTTCAGGAGGCACTGCCACAGATACAGACAACGCTCGGATCCACAACCAAAACCTGGTGAACGTAGCTAGAGGAGGAACGCCACTCAAGCCCAACTGGAGAATCCAGACTTACATTTTTGCAATGTTCGACGAGAATCAGAAGGCTGCTAGCTTACAGAAGAGCTGGGGATTGTACAATCCGAGCAACTTCCAAGCGAAGTATACCATCAACTTCGGAAACTCACAGACCCTTAGCAATCGCATCACCCAGGGAATGAGATTGAGTAGTGGACAGTTTGTCGAGTCCAAAAATCAAGTGTACAAGTTAATCATGCAGGCTGACTGCAACTTGGTCCTGGATCGCATTGGTGTCGGACCTCTGTGGGCCAGCAATACCGCTGGCTACGCCTCGGATGGGTATGTGGAGCTGCAATCCGATGGAAACGCTGTAGTTTACGGTGGCGGTGTTGCACGCTGGGCTTCGAATACTTTGGGGCGTAATGATGGAGCTCACCGCATCGACGTTCAGGACGATGGCAACATTGTCATGTACAACGAAGCAAATCAAGCCATTTGGGCTACCAACACAGCAGGCAATCGCATCATTCAGGGAATGAGACTGAGTAGCGGACAGTTTGTCATGTCCAAAAATCAAGTCTACAAATTAATCATGCACGCTGACTGCAAATTGGTCCTGTATCACATTGGTGTCAGACCTCTGTGGACCAGCCATACCAATGGCAGCGCCTCGGATGGTCACTTGCATATGCAATCCGATGGAAACGCTGTAGTTAAGATTGGCGGTGTTTCACGCTGGACTTCGGGAACTGGCGGGCGTAATGATGGTACTCACCGCCTCGACGTTCAGGACGATGGCAACCTTGTCATGTACAATGAGGCAAATCAAGCCATTTGGGCTACCAACACAGCAGGCAGTCGCATCACCCAGGGATCGAGACTGAGTAGCGGACAGTTTGTCATGTCCAAGAATAGAGTCTACAAGTTTATCATGCAGGCTGACTGCAACTTGGTCCTGGATCACATTGGTGTCGGACCTGTGTGGACCAGCAATACCTATGGCCTCGCCCCGGATGGTTATATGGAGCTGCAATCCGATGGAAACGCTGTATTGTACGGTGGCCTTGTTGCACGCTGGGCTTCCCATACTTTTGGGCGTAATGATGGAGCTCACTGGATTGACGTTCAGGACGATGGCAACACTGTCATGTACAACGAAGCAAATGAAGCCATTTGGGCTACTAACACAGCAGGGAGATGAGAGATTTATGTATTTGTTGAAAAAGAGAACATGTGCGATCTATGTCCGTCATTGAAGAACTCCAGTGACCCCGATAAGCGAACATCCTTAGTCCATGGAGCTAACTAACTGCATCGGAAAGATTGAGCTTAGGATGCAACTTTTCAAGTCATATAAAATCTCGAGATCACATCGACCATCTACAAAATGAAGTTGCTTTCAAACACTCTGGCTTTGATGAGAAGAAAGTTTTTCAAATGCTTGTAAAAAAGGCCTCTGATAAGACTTCTTTTAAAAGAGTGAACCTGTCTCGATCCTCCTCTGGAACCATACTTCTGCACCTAATGCATGTCGTTGGCTTACAGAAAGTTTTCTCTCACATCCAACGGACTCATCCACAACTCACGCTTAACTCACTTCACTCATCCTCGATTGTGCATCATCAAGGAAAGCAAGTTGCAGGTAGATGAAGTGGTTGTCAATCAGGGGCCCGTCTCGGGATGTCTTGCCCTGTATCTTCATGAGGCTAACACAAGTATCCATCAGTCTTCGTATTTACGGGTATGGGATGTGTATCTCATAAATATCAGATATTATGAACACAAAAGTCTAAATTCCAAGAAAAACAACTTTTGATTATAAGATTAGATTTGATGTATACAAATTTCTAATGTAGACTTGACTTTCCTACAATGGAATAAAATCCATCGGTTGTAAGTTACTAGATCTTAAAATGTTATAACATGAGTGAACTGTTTATTATCTATAAGAGCACACTTCTCATAGAACGGGCTACATGATAGGGTAATAAAACTGCAGGCTAGAACAACCCCGACCGTATGACTGTGGACTGACGGCATACGGTCACCGTCGTGACGGTCTCCCCTTTCTCACCGTCGCGTCAAGAAGTCACCCGTCGAGCTCGCACGCTCCACTATTCAAATTCGAGACATGGTCAGTAGATGCGAGACACGTGTCAGAGACCGCCACATTACCCCCATTCACACTACCCTCCAGCCAATCCGCGGGATCACCATCAATCGCACAGGCGCAGCATTCGATCGATTATCCGGTAACGAGCCCCTGTAACGAGCTCGGGCCAAGGCACACCCGAAAGCGAGAAGAATCTATGGTAGAGTACAATTGCCCTCGCCTTGCCTGGCGCTCACCCCACCTCCCCTCAAATTTGTAATAATTTCTGAATCCGAAATTTTTTTCCATCCGCAGATAGAGATCGAGTACGACTGTTTTCAAATTCAAAGTTAAACGAGGCAGCAACCAGCAACCATTAAAACGATGCTGCTGCACCTGTCGTTGCATCCTTCTGCTGGTATACTCGGAAAACTTAAACTAGCTTATTACTTCACGGGGAACTTTGAAGCACATTCAAGCAGATTATGGATCTCGAGACTGTGCAGCCATTTTCAAGATTGAACGAAAATTTCCCATGAATTTACTTTGCTTCATCTCTGAAGAGGTAAGATTATAGCAGTAGCAGATGATGTGTTACATTATCCTTTGTCATAGTTGGTTTTCGACGTGCCACAGCACTTCTTCTACCTTTCATTTGATGACTTCTTCCGTCATGTACACGGCGGTGATCTCCTCCGAAGCTCTTTCGAAGGAAATATCTCATCGGCCAATTTAGCTTTACACTTGTGAGGGTCTGATAAGCAGACTTTCAACCTCGACAGAAGATCACACCCAACAGCTCAAACGCCGTCAAACTGAAATGCAGAAATGTGGCTATAGTGGATCCAACACTCCATATGGGACTCAGATGTGACGCTCAGAACAAGCAATACAGTCATCGAATAGAAACTACGATTCGGTCACAACACAGTACCATCATGCTGACAACCGAATTTAGCGGCTAGAGGATATGCGGCCCAGTACAGGTGACAGGCGACGAGGATCTTGTTATGTTGACAGTGTGGACAGGTGAGTATAATTTGCTCATAATCTCAAGCGGTGTCGATTCACCAACTGAGTTATAGTTACACTTATTCATGGACTCTTTCTCCTCCAGTTACTACGCGAAAGTGCTGCTTTAAATCTATGCCAGTGGAGGACATGGTGCTGGATCATAAAGAAGGGCTGCAATTGCAAGGGAGATGGTCGATTCCCGGTCGAAGGTGGGGTTCGGCTCTGTTTCTCAGAGCTGAGGATCGTAGTTTCAGGCATCGAAAAATTGGCAGTAGAGACTTGAGAAGAAGCAAACCGCGTTGTACTTGAAGTCAGCGCACTGCAATGCGGTACATATATGGCCATGGCGGTTGGCGCATCAGCCTGATGCGCGCACCGCAGTATTACTAACACCGTTGTGAGCGAGGAAGGTTGTCAAGAATGGCCTAGACCCACCTTCATGTCCAGAAAAGATATGTTTCAAAGTATGATCTTCTTCATGTTCTGACACAAATTTACGTACCGGGGTTTGGGAGCACTAGCAGTGATCAGATCTCTGCGATGAAGAATAAAGATCAAGGATGTGGAGGATGTCCCCTCGCCTACAGTTTCTTGGTTAATTGGAGGTTTGAGAAAGCCTGGCAGCAGTAAGGAAACTAAGCAAAATTCGAACCCCGCCAATTCGCTAAGCCGCTTCTCTTAAAGCCGCGATGACAGGAAATTTACTGGCCCCTACAAACGCAAATTCCCTGACAATCGCAACGCATAACCTTAATGCAAGAAATCACTCGCCAAATCGACAACCCCGAGCTCTCGCGTGATCGCCATCGCCAATCCGAGAGTGCCTCACAAGAAATGCTAGACGACAGGTCCGGCCGGACTCGTCTTGGGCGCCAAACGCGAAACCCCTGATGACGGTGACGGGAAACCTACTGGACGGTGACGGTGACACTCGAACAGTGTACGCATGCCGTCAGCCCGGTCGGGGTGGTTCTTGCGAGGAGCGTAATAAACACCAAGTAGAGCCTAATCTGTGTTAAACTCCAAAACAAGTTCCTTACAAACCATTTAAGTTAGCCTTAGATGGTTTTACTCACTATCCTTAGTTTTTACTTGGACTTATACTTGTAGTGTAGGTGGCACGGCAGACAAAGTACTTCTGGATGCTCCATGCAGTGGATTGGATGTTATAGCGAAAAGCTCATAAGGGTCTCAAGTGGTATTGATCCAACTCACTCGATGACTTTTTAGGTTTGAAGTCGAGGTTTCCTCCTGCAACACATTTTGAAAGCAAAGAGTACTTGATGCTCCCAATGGAAGTATACTTTAGAACCATCAAGACGACATAGGACTAATTCACTCTAGCAGCACCTATCCAGTATCTAGAAAGATGATCAAATTTCTGACTTAATACACTAAGTTCTTTGGCTTCTGACATGATTTGCTTCCCAAGTCCAAAAAAACACCTCCGATTTCGCAAAATTAATTTCATCAATGATCTCTGTTTAATGAGAATCACTCACGTTATCTTGAGTTGCAGAACCTGACATCATAGAAATTCGATTATATTATATAATATTCATTACTTCCACATTCAAAGTGATGTATTCTGTGCTTGGAGAATTAAAACCATCGTCTTGGATTTCGATTCTTTTTTATAAACAAGAAGTTGATTTCAAAATTTCAAAATTTATTGTAGAAATGTTTATGAATGGTTGTTTTAAGATTTATATGTTGCTCTAAGAAAAAAAAACATATTGTGTTTGTTTTAGTTCCTTCTTTCATTCTCCAATAATATTGGAATTTACACCGATTTATGGAAGTGGACATGACATTTGTGTTTCTTTTTCATCTTTCATACTTATTTGTTTTCGCTTTATTCACAACATCATTTTAAAAAGTGATGAAATTCCATCTTCCTGGATGAACGATAATTCTGATGCCAACAACCAAAGCTGTCAAGAATCAGAATATCACTTGAAGGTACTCTTCGTAATGTTAACTGTGATTTAATGTAAATTGTCCTGTACATGTTTCTTTTGTGAGAGTGAAAGACTTTGATGATTTAGAAAAAGTCCGGAGACAAAAAAGCAGCGAAGTCTTCACTGAAAGACTGCACAGCAACTTGGAAAGCAGCGAATTCTCTACAGAAAGAATCGAATCTATGGTTATGGCTCATAATATCTTCTCGACAAGGCTAGGGCTTTCATAACGGCTTCCGACACGTAAGTAGTTTGCTTTCCAAATGCTCAAAGTTCATTCTATGCAGTTGTGCTCTGACACTAAGAATTGGGTTGACCGGTGAGTATTTGACCCTCGCACCTTACTAAGCAACAGCACTCGGACATGTCAATCAGAACCATCTGACATATACTCTGTTCGCGGTTCTTGGGATAAAATGCAGAAACATTTCTCGATTCAGCAATGCGATGACCTTGAGGCTTCAGTGATTCATAACATTTATAGTTTCAGCTGAATTGGTTTCGAGGTGAACGTTAGGGCCAGCCAAAGTTCTGATTTTCCAGTGATTTTATGGCAGGCGGCTGGACAGGGATCTGTTTCGGGCAGGAAGGCTCCAACATCCCGACCAGGACCCAGGTCGTCCAGAAGTTCCGACAATTGGGCATCACCCGCGTCCGCCTCTACCACACTTACCAGAGCACGCTCCAGGCTTTCTCCAACAGCGGCATTCAACTCACCGTGGGCATAACGAACGCAGATATCGTTAAGGCCTTATCAAATGTGGGCTCTGCCACGAGCTGGGTTGACCCGAGACAAGCAGGATCCTGCTATGTGTTATTGTCCGTTCTTCTCTGTTCTGTATGAAAGTTTGACACAAGAACGCCTCCATACCCCTCCATTCGCGTGCTGCCATCGACCGAGTCACAGCGTGCCCGCCGGAGGGACTGCAGTGGCACCCGGACTACGTACGTCCCGAGGGCGTGGTCGGCCTTGAATTCCCATGCGGATGCCAGCAGGGGGGTCACCCTGCTCCAGTAACATCGTCGCTGTTACGGTGGGAAACGAAGTCTTTACTTCGACGGCGAACAATTTGAAAAACGCTCTGCTGCCTTCGATGAAGAATCTGAGAGAGGCGCTGAATCAGGCACGTAACAGTGGGATCAAGGTCACAACAGCTCACGCTTTCGACGTCGTCACGAACACCTTCCCCCCATCTAGCGGCCAGTTCTAATTTTAATAAAATTAAAATTAGAAATGTATATCATGTTGTACATATCAGCCATTTAATATTACTTTGAACTATCTTATTGTATTTTTTGGTTCAAAAATATAGAGTGCAAAAGAACATCTTGTTTTTTAACTTTCTAAGCATTTCATTATTATCTAGATGTAGCTGAGAAGTCTCATACATATTTGTTTTATTTGAATGGTCATAGGTCATAATGAAGTAATTGACATAGGGTCACCATTCCTATGTCTTCTCAAATGAATGCATCTTGACATATTCATGAAGTGTAATTTCAAAATACAAACCGAGATTTGTTTTGATTTTCCTTCATCCTCTGCAAAAGACGGTCAATTGTTTGAACAAACGGAAGTACTACAGCAGGCTAAAAGCCATGATTCTTGCAGTTTGTGGACTAGTAAGAATATTATAGTACTGATGACTGAATGAATAAACATGGTTAAAATTAGAAATAATTTAGGGTAAAATAATAGAGGAAAACATTTGCCAGACGTAATCATATTTGTAGAGTTTAGTCAATGTGACTAGAGAGGTTGTTTTGAATTATATAGCTTCAATTGTAAGATCAATACCGTCATGCTCGCTCGATCAAAATAAACACTGAAACAACTCTCTATCTCTTTGCAGGTTGTTAGAATGAATATAGAGAAACCCAACTTGCATTCCAGATTTTGAACTATCATAGGACATCTGTTATGATTATTATCAAAAACTAAAATGATCTATCTGACATTAAATCCTGAAGAACACATTGTGCATTTTATTGTAACCGCCCAACGTTGGCATCGAGTGGACAGAAACAAAGTGAAAAGACACCTTTAGGGATGGAACGGAACGGAAAAATGGGCTCGCCTCCACTCCCATAGAACGGGCAGAAAGAGAACTAAAGTTACTAGGGCTATTTCATTATTTAGTTTCGTATAAGAGCGAGAAGCAGAAACACAAATCACACCGTACAAGAACATGCGGGGATGGACACTACATTGTGCAAAGTGTACACGTAGTTATACTTCTAGTTCACCTGCCATGAGGAAAAAAGTTCGAATTATGAACAAGGCCGACGAGATCTTGCAAGGTCAGACGGATTCGACAGGTATTACATCCGAAAGAAGAGGCAGAAGAGGGCCATGTACAATGAATGGGTCGTCGATTGACAGAATAGTGCAGGCTAGTCATGGATATTTAGCAATTGTGTAAGGACAGCGTCCCGCAGTTCCGCAAACAATGAGTGGCTAATTCCATGAACGCTGAGTTTGGGAGGACGTCAAGGAATTCTGTAGTTCATCCAAAGTTGCATGCTTATCATGTGCCCTGCTTTGAGAGGTTTTCGAAATGTTTGTGATTTGGCGATCTTCATCCAAGATGTATTTGGCGGAGGAGGCTCTGCTCTCACTATCGATGGCAAGCTCAGACAGGTTTTCAGATGCTAATAGAGTTTGAGTTCGGAAGCTAGGGTTTCTACCGTGTATCAAAATACAGTACATGCAATATTCTCTTTTCGTGGATGTGGAGAATTGACAATAGTGATGAACGTTTTACTTTGAATCAAAGATTAGAGAAACCTTGTTTTCCCATTACTTAAGACTGAAGCAGTTGTACCAAAATCTGGAATTGAGCCTATTTTATGTTTTTAAAGATACTTTTCTTAAGAATGCTCACTTTTGACAGGTTGCCACCCATCCCAATGTAACACTAGGGTTTAGAGAGAATTTCACTCGAAGATAGAAACGTAAACTCTGAAGATGAGAGATACCAACAATGGTTCTCCTCTCCCTTATATAGCTCTCACCAACAAGTACAAGGTGATAAGATCTAATCCCCACCATCCATACCACTCCTAGTGGATGGATGACGTGGCGGATAACCCTAACAAGCACACGGATCGCTGACGTGGCGCACCCAACTAACACACTAACTAACACACTCAATCCTTACCTACAAGCACACGGATTGCTGACGTGGCACTGTCAACTAACACATCCACTCTGTACCTACCAAGTGCGCGGATCGCTGACGTGGCAGCTATGACTAGTGCACACTAAAGTATCTACATCAATATTCAGAGTAACCTCTACTTTAGTTCTAACTAACTAAAGATGGTTACAAACCTCCCTCCTTTTAAGATGCAACGTCCTCGTTGCACATACGTTCAAACTCCTGAACTATCAAAGGTGCATTTGCTAAATTTTTAGCTGGTTCCCAAGTTGATTCATACGATGGATAGCCTTTCCATTGAATCAAATACTCTACTTTGGGATATTTATGACCTCGAATACGTTTCTTGAGTATCTTTTCTACCTCAAACTCCTCATGATCTGCTATCAAGGTTGGAAGAGGAGGTGGTGCTGGTTGATTGGTGAATTGTTTTGGTCGTGGTACATGTTTTCGCAATCGTGACACATGAAATACTGGATGTATTTTCATATGTGACGGAAGTTCCAACTTGTATGACACTTCACCAACACGCTTCAAAACCAAAAATGGACCAATGTACCTAGGGTTTAACTTTGGTGTTCCTACAAGAGACAAATTCGTTGTAGATAACCAAACATGATCTCCAACCTCAAAAATCACTTCTCTACGATGAGCATCGGCATGCTGCTTTTGCCGATTTTGAGCTATCACCAACTTCTCCTTGGCCTGATGTAGTCCTCGGTGAATATGCTCCATGAATTCGTTGACTGCTGCAACTTTGGTCGAAAACTCCTCTCCTTTCGGAAGTCTCATCAAACTTGAAGGAGTTATCGGATGAGCTCCATACATAAGAAAAAATGGAGACACTTTTGTGGATGCATTAACAGAATTGTTATATGCAAATTCCACAAGTGGCAAAAGGTTGTCCCACTCTTCTTGCTCTTCTAATGTGAATGCTCGTAGCATATCCTCTATGGTTCTATTTGCCCTCTCAGTTTGTCCATCAGTTTGAGGGTGATAGGCCGTTGACATTGCTAGTTTTGTTTTGAAAAAACTAAACAAAGTTTTCCAAAATAAACTAGTGAAGTGAGTACCTCTATCCGTGATTAACACTTTGCTTAAGCCATGATTCACAAAAACTGCGTCTAGATACAATTGAGCTAGTTGTGGAGCTGTTACTGTTTTTGTGGTTGGCCTGATGTGAATCATCTTGCTCAATTTGTCCACAAAAACCACCACTGAATCATGTCCTAACGAAGTCCTTGGTAACTCACATACAAGATCCATGGTGACATGTTCCCACCGCTGTTCGGGAATAGGAAGAGGTTGTAATAAACCCGCTGGTTTTTGATTACTTGCCTTGTTTTGTTGACAAGCAACACAACTTCGAACGTAAGACTCCACATCCTCACGTATTTTGGGCCAAAAGTACACTCGTTGTATACTCTCCACGGTTTTCTCCACTCCCACATGACCTGCAATGGCTGTATCATGACTTTCTGCCAAAATCATTGTGCGCAAATCGTGATCTTGTGGAATCCATATACGCTGATTGTAAAACGCCAAACCTCGAGATTTCTCTGCCTTTCCAGTTTGTAGTGCTCGAGTGATCTCTTCATCCTCCTTTGTGGCTTGTGACATCTTGCTCCACCAATCCGCCTGAATTTTCACTTCTGCAACATGATTCAAACAAGGCATGCGTGTGAGAGCATCTGCAAGTTGCTTCTTTCCCTCCACGTACACAATCTTCATGTTGAAGCGTTGACGCCACTCTGCCCATCGAATTTGTCGTTTGGACAGATCCTTCTGAGTTTCCAAATAAACCAAGGGTTTATGATCAGTCTCCACCACAAACTCCTTATCACCCAGATAATGCTTCCAATGTTTGGTTGCCAACACGATAGCTAACTCCTCCCGTTCTGTCGTGTGATAATTTTGTTCCGCCGCCACCAACTTTCGAGAATAGAAAGCAACTGGATGCCATCCATCCTCCCATTCTTGTTGAAGTATGCCACCTACTGTTGTACCTGATGCGTCAGTGGCCAACTTGATAGAACGGTTAGGATCATACCACTTGAGAATAGGTGCGTGTAACAAAGCATCTTTCAATGCTTGAAAAGCTAACTCTTGAGCTGTTCCCCATCTCCACTTCTGACCTTTCCCTAACATGGAAGTCAAGGCCTGAGCTAGTCGAGCAAAACCTTTCACAAATCTACGATAGAATCCAGTGAGCCCTAGAAAACTCTTCAATTGAGTTTGATCCTCAGGTGCTATCCATTTCTGAATGGCCTCTATCTTCTCACTCATCACTTGGATTCCTGTAGCTGTAACTCTATGACCCAAGTAATCTACTTCTGACTTGCCAAATTCACATTTTGAAGCTTTGGCATACAATTGATTGTCTCTTAAAACTTGAAGTACCTCTCGTAAATGACTTCTATGATCACTCAAAGTTTTGCTATACACCAATATATCATCTAGAAAAACAATGACAGATTTATCTAGATAAGGGCGAAAGATATCGTTCATCAATCCCATGAATGTAGCTGGTGCATTAGTGAGACCAAAAGGCATCACCAGATACTCAAAGTGTCCATACCTAGTACGAAAAGCTGTCTTGTGAACATCTTCATCTGCAATTCGAATTTGATTGTAGCCGCTTCTCAAATCTAGCTTGGTGAAGTACTTCGCTCCTTGAAGTTGATCAAACAAATCATCCATACGAGGTAATGGATATTTGTTTTTCACCGTTTGCTGATTCAACCCGCGATAATCGATACATAGTCTCATGGATCCATCCTTCTTCTTCACAAAGAGTACTGGAGCTCCATAAGGTGAAACACTTGGCTGAATGAATCCCTTGCTCAACATCTCCTCCACTTGAGCTTTGCATTCTTCCAATTCGTTTGGAGCCAAACGATATGGAGCTTTGCAAGTTGGTGTACTTCCAGGTATCACCTCAATCTTGTGATCAACTCGCCTCTTTGGTGGTAATCCTGCAGGTAGATCATCTGGAAAAACATCTTTATACTCCATAAAAATGTCGTTCAAGGACTCCGGGATGTAAGGTT